GAAGCCATGTTATGAGTAGTTTACAAATTAAAGGTGCACTATGTAATTTTTCTGGTGGAGTTTCTGCCATTTGCCATAGACAGACCCCAGTTTTTTGAGCTATAAAAGCATTAATGCCATACATAATAGATGTGAAAAACTGACTTGTGGTAGTTGATTTTAAGGTTAAGATACACTATTTGTCCTCTGTATTTGACCCTAAATTACCCAAAAGTTTTCAGCCCGCATCTGTGAATGTGGTTTTAGCTGCCAGTAACATGAGCAAGTATCAGAACACATCTGATCAGTTCCACTTTTCACAGCAAAGCCTCAGTCTATAGATAAACTGTAAGAGTATGAATTGGTTTCCTGCTGTATTGCGAATTCACTGTGTTACGACAAAGCTAAGAAGTTTATTATTTGGTCTAACCCCGGCTTTGAAACAGGCGATGCAGTTGTTTTGCTAAAATCAAACTCATTTTTCATTATTACTTCAGATAAACACAGGCTCTTATTGCAGCGTTGGAGTTTTCGACTTTGAATTGCCTTTGCTGTGCACTGGTGTGTTTTTTTTTTTATTTTTTATGTTTCACAGACTGTTGTCGTGGAAACTGAGGTGTCTTTATGTAGGCTCTTGGCAACATGAACACTATTTGACAGTGTGGCAATGCAGCGATGGTGAAAGCGTTGCCTACACACTGTCAGGCATCACAAATATTGACAGGTGGGTGGAGTGGGATGATCCATAGTAGATTATGGGGCTCAAACTGGTTTTGGCAGGAGGCTGGGTTCATTATGAAAGATGGAGCAAGAAGAAACGGGTTACTTTCTGTATCTCTCCTCTCTGCTGTGATTCAAGATTGTCTTAATATTAAGCTGTGAAGCAGCAACTTGATTAGACCAGTGGCCCCAACGGCAAATTATCTTGAATGCTTGTCTTTAATAGTTACACTGCAGGGACCAATGATGGACACTGTGCTGGCATATTGTCTAAATTGTGCGCAGATATGAGAGATTCACACATCACATTTGAAGGATTTTGCTTCCGGCTGAGTAATTGTTGTATTTCAAATATATATCACATAGATGAGAATAGAAACTATGCTTGTTGGCTGAGTGGTTAGCACCTTTTTTGCAAATCGTATCTGTGTTTGTGTCCATTTCCTCCTGATGCTCACACCAGTGAAGTTGGCCTATAGTTGTACATATTCACATCACCTCAAGACTTACAAATTTGACTGTGTGTGATAAATAAAACATTTGGCTTTTACAATTCGGCCTGCCCACTTTTGTGTCCTGTCCCACGTTGTCCTGAGTTGTTCTTAAAACGGGTTAGTCGATGATTTCATTCAGGGACATTCAAGGGGAAGTGATTCTGGGATTTATTAGATGAATGATATTAGCCACCAACAAATGATGAGAAACATTGAGAAAGAAATTACACAAAAGTTAAGAAATAGTACTGGAAGTTTTGAATCACTGTGCCCAGAAAGTGAATAAGCTGCTTGGTTAGTTTTGTAGAAAGAAAAGACTCCAATTAAATCTATTCTCTTCTGTTCTGTGGAGCTTTTGCTTTCAGTAGATGTAAAGAAACATTTCTGCATCTTTTGAGGGAATTTTATAGCTGGATTCATCAGCCATAGAACTTCGACTTCTTAGAAACTGTCTGACCTTGCAGCGTTAAAATTCGTTTGCTCGGCGGTAGGTGGGTACTTTTTTTTTTTTTTGTCATTTTTATGATTTTTTTTTTCAATTATACAAAACAAAAAACAAACACAGAGAAGAAGAGTGCCTTTGCAATCGTTCAATGAAATATCAATCGAGATGTGTTTACATTATTAATTTTCAGATAAAGTCCGATCTGAGTGGGCATTTTTTTAATTTAACCAATCGTTGCTATTTGGTCGTGATGTAAGTAATGCGCCGCTAACAGGGCTAACTGGTACATTAAGTTTTTCTCAAATCCCTTAGGAAGAAGTGCAATAACGTCTTTCCCCTTGATAAAATTCACCAAACATTCTCTTCGATCTCAGTCTTGATCTCGGGAATCGTTGCCAACACAGAATGTATTGCTCTTCTCTGATTGGCTGGTGCCCGGACATGCAGTTTCGGGGTTCTTGCAAACACTCTAGTGTATTCTGATTCCTGACCTAGTCGCTGGAGGGGCTAACTGGTATATTAAGTTTTTCCCAAATCCCGTAGGAAGAAGGGCAATAACGTCTTTGACCTTGATAAAATTCACCATTCTCTTTCTCTTTGTTCTGGCTTTAAATCCTCTCGGGAATCGTTGGCTCTTCGCTAACTGGCTGGTGCCTGAACTCGCACTTCCGGGGTTTTTGCAAACCGTCTAGTGTATTCCGATTCCTGACCTAGTCTCTGGAGAGAAATGAAATTGTGCGAAGACACTAGGTGGCGCTAGTCTGGCTAGGACTAATATACCAAATGTCTCGCTCTTACAACCATTCACCCATTCACAGTAGCCCCCAGGTTGGTTGGTTGTGAATAAACTACACCCACTCCCCCCCAAATCAAGAGATATGTAACAACATTTGTGATAGACATGTTTTATTTTTTTTACATTGGTGTCAAATTAGGTTAATATAAAATATACGCAATTACAAAGCACACAACACACCATCTGCCTCCCAGTGTATTACATTATAGAGAAATAAATAAAGTAAAAATACATTCTCACACTTTTATATGTCCATAAGTCGTGTGTGGGTTGTTTTGTGTGAAAATCGCAGTTTGAATCGACCCCCCTTGCCACTTGCAATCACACATGAATATTTATGAGTCAATAACTGGTCAAATTAGTCCTTGCTGGTCTTGAACTATTGCCAAATAAGCTGCTATGTTTTAGTTTGCCTAGCTACAACAGCAAGTTAATCAGAGGACATGGACCAAGGCTAATTGCGCACTTCATTACATGTTCGCTGCATTAGCACTAAAGAAGAAGCCATAATCAGACACACTGCACTATCGGCACATAAGTACTGGAACGCTCGACGTAATTAGGAGTTTGAAGTGCTCAGGTGACGCAAATAGGGCAGCGAATGTAGCTAGCATGCGGTCATTAGACTCCCCATTGCTTTTTTATCACACACAAAGGAGCAATTGCATAGGCACTTTGAATAGACATTACTGATAGGCTTAGTTTGATATGGCTCACAATGAGACAGTGTTGAAGAGGTGAGGTAATCCAATGCGCGCTTTATACCGGTCTATAAAATTAATTTGAATTAAACTCTCCGCCCTCCCGTGCTCTTCCCATTTGATCAGCTGGACTTGGTTTTTACAGCGTGTTCCAAGGTGATGCTAACAGCGCTGTGGCTTTCGCGGTGCCAGAATCGTCCTCCACAAAACCCGATGAGTCATTTATTTGAGTTGAAAAGTGCTTTCATGAGTTCACTGTGAGTGCAGATAGAGCTGTCTGTGATGCAAAGTTTAACTCAGGTCTCTGGAGTGTAATGTAAAGTGTAATGAGGCAGTCAAAGTGTAGAGTATGTTCTCTAGTATTGGCAAGGTAGAACTGTTATGAATTTCATTTCCCTATGTGGCTCTTAAGAGATACATTAGCCATAACCTCTTTTGGAGATTACATTTATTTAGTTTGAGATTTTATTGAAGTGTGTTGGATTCAGACTGTTTGACGTCAGGATTGGCACATGGAACTGAGTGGAGATGTCACTAATGATTATTTTATTATTTTTTTTAGCTGTTGCTACACCAAAACGATGTGATTTGATATTATTGTGAGACTTTTGACGTTACTTTTGACGTTAGACTTTTGACTTTTCACGATATATCAGTTATTGTTCCATCCCTTATTCTTATTAAAAACTAGTTTCTCAAGAAGAGGTCTTTACTCAACATATTTGACCTTAATCTGTGAAAATGTGTCTTATAAAAATGGCATTAATCAAGGGTCGCTTATAGATTAGATTTCTGACTAAATTACTAAAATAATCATCAGAAATTTAGTCTATCTAGTCTACCCTCGATAAATTTTTTTAACAAACGTTTTCACAGATTAAGGTCAAATATGTTGACTATAGACCTCTTCTTGACAAACTAGTTATTTATATTAATTAGGGATGTAACAATAACCAAAATATCATGATATTATTTTATTTTAATTGTCAAAAGTCTCACAATCATATCATGGGCTGTCACAATATGAGATCGAACTACATAGACCATTATCCTTTGTTGTCGTCAGTGCATATTACATGAATAAATAACTGTTAATTAAACACTTTTGGCTCACTTTTTCATATTATAACAGTATCAACGACTTTTTCAAGACTTTTAAAAGGAAAAAGTAGCATATTCACAATTTTGTTTGCCTCTACAAAATATTGCAATAAATATCGTACCGTGAAATGCATATGGTGATAGTATCGTATTGAGAGATTTGGACACCGTTACATCCCTAATATTAATATAATAGTATATAATTTCCTTCTGCAATTTTGCATTAACAGTGATTTTTCTCAGTACATTGTGTGTGAAGAATCTGTTTATAGTACTGCACATAATTGTTAACAAAGATTAGACCTGTCTTTGGCTATTTTAGTTAATTATTTTCTTGACGAGAGCACAGAGATGCAGAGATGTTATCCAGGTGCATTGGTTTACTGCTTTAGAGGCTACATATTTTTCATAAGATTGCCATGGTAACAGTCATTAAAAATAATTGTTCTGCATTTATTGCGCAGTTATAACTTTGTCCTTCTCCTTCATCAAACTATTATACATGATTGTTTCTTTAAAGCTAGTTCATAATATATCCTGGCTGGAGCGGCGTTATCTGTGATATTTTATCTTGTCTAAATACCTCAAGTTGAAGTATTTTTAGATTTACTCACTTGACTCCTTGTCCCTAGATCTTCACTTGCGTATCTCACATTCCCACTTTGGTGAGATTACATGGAGATGCAAGCGATAATCCATGCCCAAATATGGTCATCCCCTATGCATCTTTTGTAAGCCTTTTTTCCCTCTTTTTTGTCTTGCAGGCTTATGAACTTTCAACCCTGACAGGAACCCAGGTGCTTCTGCTCGTGGCCAGTGAAACGGGCCATGTGTACACGTTTGCCACTCGTAAACTGCAGCCCATGATCACCAGTGAGACGGGGAAGGCCTTGATCCAAACATGTCTGAACTCTCCGGACTCCCCCCCACGGTCGGACCCTTCGACTGACCAGAGGATGAGCGCCACGGGGTTTGAGGAGACAGACCTGACCTACCAAGTGTCTGAGGCCGAGGGCATGGGGGAAACTAAGGTAAAACATGCAACACGTTTATAGCTAGCTGGATCAGGTTTACAGTAGGGCTTAACAATTTAGGAAAAAATATTAAATTGCGATTTTTCTGACAGCATTGCGATTGGATTTACGATTTATATTTGAATAATGGGATCCTGTTCAAACTTGACATTTTTAACACATTCAGTTGAATAGAGTTAGATATTAGATATTAGGGGCAGAGCTGGGGACTTGCAAGTTGTGACTTTGACTCGAGTCAGACTTGAGTCACTATTTTTAGGACTTGAGACTTGACTTGATAAAATGGACTAAGACTTGGGACTTGACTTGGACTTGAAGGTCAGTGACTTGGGACTTGACTCGGACTTGAGGCCTGTGACTTGAGAAGCACTTTTAAATCTGAATTCTTTCTGTTCTGACTGTAATGATTCACACCAAAATCTTGTCAAAACATTTAAAAAGGAAAAATTTGCATTTCTACAACATTTATATACTCTATAAATACTCATATATACATATACTATGATTTTTTTAAAGTACAATTTAGTTTAAACTTCATATAAATTGCCAAAATTTAAACTATATTTGGTACTTTGGTTTAAAGACTTGAAATGAATTGAAGCTCAAAGCAGATGACTTGGACTTGACTTGGACTTGTGGGTCAGTGACTCAAGACTCAACTTGGACTTGCCTGTATTTGACTTGAGACTTGACTCGGACTTGAGGTCAAAGACTTGAGACTTACTTGAGACTTGCAAAAAGGCAACTTGGTCCCACCTCTGATTAGGGGTGTGCAAAAATATCGATATATCGTATTGTTAAATGCGGTAATACAGTATCAATATCGTGGGCTGCTGTATCGATATATATCGCCAAGAGTGTTTTTTGGTATATTTTAGTAAATTATTTTGTTACAGCGCTACAGTTTTGTTGCTTGTTCAGAGGAAGGAAACAGAGGAAGGTGTGTTTCATATTAACTTTGCACAAGAAGTGGTTTAACAAACACTTTTAGTATCACAGCCATGATTTATCCATTATTTTTAATTGAACTGAATCGAATAATTTTGAAATATATTGTATAGAACAGAAAGTGCACTGTATCGAGATATGCATCATATTGTAGCTTATGTATCGAGGTATATATCGTATCGGCAACTTCTGAATGATACCCAGCCCTATTAGATATTTTGTTATTTGTGGAGTAAATGATGGTACTTCAGAATTTGCATCTTTGTGATTTGCCAATTGTGCTCATTCAAATAGCCTTGGTTTACAATGTGTAATAGGATTTGTGTCTGAAGTATGTACACGCATGAGAAACAAATATATTGTATTTGAATATCAAAGCTCGTGATCAGGCCAGTGCAAGATTCATATGATATCTGATAGCAATTGGATTATATACATGAGACTCTTTAAAGCTGTATTGTGTAACTTTTCTGGGGGAAGGTATTGCTTTGCCTAGAATGTTCCACAGTAGAATATCAAACTTTATTTTTCTGGGGTTCTTGCAACATTACGATTTCCTCCTCCAGTGACGTGAATAACATTGAATTGGAATAGGTTTTTATCTCAGATGCCCTTCCTCACACCCCTCTCTGGTCTTGGTGCCAGCTTTTAAAAAATCAGAAAAATGTAGATGAATTTCACTCGTGAATTCACAATGTTCACAGTCATCAATAGTCTATGAATCACAACTAAATGTAAGACAACTGAATCATTGCCCTTGTATTACACTTCGTCTCTACTCACAGTTGTATTGGAGCATTAATTGAAATCTCAGTACACCCAGGCCTCAGATGTGCTTTTCAAATCCCATTCTACAAATTAAATAAACCTCATATTTCATTTTGTGTGCGCTCGGCTGCAGCTGGGTCACTCCGACACGATTGGGCTCAGTGCGTTTGACTCCCTGTGCTCATCTCAAGCCTCTTCTTTTGACTCACTGTCTCGTCTCCAATGGAAACATGACTCCAGCTCAGTATCGCACGAATACAAATATAAAGTGTTCAGATTTGCTCTCAGTGGGTCGACTTTACTGGGAATTCTCTTAAAAATGTGGAGACGGTATGAGGGAAAGTCCGTCAATCCAATACAGAAGTAGCAGTAGAAAATTATCGTTGTTATATTGAATTTTTGCTTGAAGATAAAAGGCAAGTATTGGTGGAGAGATTGAAAATACTTTGGTTATGGGTTAACTAGAATGTTCCACTGTATGGCATTAAACTGTTGCACCTTCATGGAGACAAGCAGGTGATAGAGGTCAGATCTGTGGAGCATTTCAGGCAAAGCAATAACATCTTCTTCGTGGAGATTGGGCTCTATTCACGCTTTTTCACATGCTTTTTGTTTGTAGTTTTTGTGGTAGTTGCAGTTTAATTTTACTGTCATGAAACCTAGAACTAAATTAAATAATACAACTTCTCAAAATGCGCAATGGGTGGGTTGATCTGGTTTTAAAATAGTTCTGATTAGCATTAGAATTGGCCACAGTTAGACCATTATAGTCAGTTCAGTGGTACAGCTTGTTACATGGTTGAAAACATGTTAAGAATCCTGTTGTTGTAAAGTGTTTGGAAATGCTAGAGGCAACTGTCCTCTCTTTACCAGCATTCAAATGTCAGCAGTGAAATCAGGGAGTGATCTTTAATTGAGGACGAGCTTTAGTTCAAAGATGGACAGAAGGTGAGATAAGACAGTGTTATTCCAGTTCGGTGAAGGGAGCCATCTCTGCATGACCTTTGACCTCTGATCCAGGAAAAGCTCGTAACCGCCCCTCAGATAAATCACAGCAGGTCTGGGTTTTGTTAGGACGAGAAACACGCGCTCGGGACAGTAGTGTTTACATTAGATTTAAGAGAAGGTGCTGCTATTCTGGTCAAAACTTTGACATTCACAAGAGAGAAACTGCACACCACACTCCACAAAGTCTCATATCAGCTTGAGGGTAAAGTAGGTAATAATATTTCCACCAATTAGGTTGGGTACATAGAACAAAAAATACAAATTACAATTTTTTATTTGATCTTATAAGTAAGATTTGATAAGAAAAAGGTTTTCAATATTTGTTTCCTGAACATAAATGCGACAGATTTTTTGATCCAGTTTATTCTGCTCCAAAGCACATGCTTTACTGCATGAGGATGAGCGGTGTGTGGATCTCTCAATTATCTGGAGCTGATCTTTTTACTATTTACACACCCCACTCTTCAACATCAATCTAACCCCCAATTTACACGAGCATACCTGCAGGTATGGCTTTCCGTTTTAACCGGTCAGACAATTTAGAACACCAGTATCATACATGCGTCCAACGGCCATCATCACGCTACCTGTTGCTTAAATTAGGTTGGAGTTCAGATTTTTCAGTGTCAACAGAACGTCTCATGGGTTTTTAGCAGAGGCAAGACAGGAAATAAGCACGTGGTGTCAAAATAAACTTCCGATGCCCTGTCAAAATCACTACAGTCGTGTAAACACCGTGTGTCACATCCAGGAGCACAGGGAATGACTCCTGATGGACTACGGAAAGTTTACAGGCATGGAGGATAAATATAAAGCACTATACGACATCAGGCAGCAACTTTACAAGAACAACTTCTGAAGGAAAAGGTGCGTGGTACAGTCAAACAAAATTAAATGGTGAGTAGCTTAATTAATGCAAGCACCGCAAATAGGGCTCATTATCGCTGCAAAGCATTGTCTCTTGTCAACTTTTGTATTGTGATTTAAAATATAATGCATCTAATCAACAATGAATACATAAGCAATGTAAAAAGATTTGTGTTTAAACATGAGAATTCAGAGTTTAGTGTTTTAAACCTGAGAATCTACAGAGGCTGGCGTCACAGGAGCAGCTCTGCCTCTAGTGTAAATTGAAGCTTTTAAAAGTGTGTGCATATGCAGCTCTGCCTACGTTATGCTCCTGGTGTAAATTTTGGGTAATGAGGGACTGTTAGTGAAAATTAGTACATGCTAAAATCTGCTACACTGCATCTTCTGTTATTGCTTCATGCTTGTTGCAAAGGTTTCAAAGATAGTCACAAAGGTAGTTGCACCCGGGCACAGAGGGCCTAGTCGTAATATGGACTGGTGTAACTTGGTGTAACTTTCAGATTTAAGTCAGATATAGGATAAAGACTAGTGTTACAACCAGCTGCTGCACTCGGCTCCCAGACCTGGCATCGCGGACCTGACTGGACTGGGACTTGGACCGGTTTCATCTCTTCATATTTGACAACAATACACGTTTGGAGACAGAGCCAACAGGACAGCGGACAGAGGATACACGCTGTTTCAAAGGAAGAAGCTAAAATGATTGTTTTCGTTAGTTTTGAGCAAATCAGAGGACGGAGTTAAATGGTGTTATAGTGTTAATAGTTAAATAGTGCATAAATGAGCTTTTGTGTGTGAAGTAGCTTCTCCGGTGTTCTGCCGTGTGCGGTGTTGGAGCGGTGCTGATGCCATGTGTTCGTGTTCTGACCATAGCCTCTTGACGTTGTTGGGGCTGGTTGTGAGCGGTGAATCGGGCTGTAATGCTGCGTAAATATTGCATTTGGCTGTGCGTTGTGTTCTGTTTGTGATAACCAAACACAAGTGTAGGACAGGTGCCTAATGAAACATAAGACAAATTATTTATATTAATTCAATAGTTAGACTTAAAATGCCCCTTTACATATACTCATTTGAAAGTGGTCATTCATGGTCATAGGGGCTAAAACGCATTTCACTGAATTAAATTTTAAGTCCGCGTTTTTGCTTTTCTTGTGTTCTGTGTAGGAGGTGATTTACCATTGGAGTTATCGGAAAGCTCGATGTGATGATTTTTCTTCTTAACTCAGTTTTTGGCTGCGTCTCCCAGACCAGCAGTCCACTCCTCTGCTTCTTTTTTGAAACTACCAGCTAATTACTTGTTCAACCCAAATGCCCTTTGATGATAAAGTACATTTGGGCATTTGGCTTTGGACTGAAAATTGAGTTTCTTTTTAAAAGACAAGGCACTTGTAGCCTTATTTTCA